GGGGTGCCCCGCCGCCCCCGCGCCCCCCCGCCGCCGCGGCGCCCTCGCCCGCGGAGCTTTACCCGCCGGCTCCGGGATGTGTCGCGCTCCCCGCGGACATGGCGACCAGCTCTGCTCCACCACCCGCCAACTATCGCACAACCACCTTCCCGTCACTTCCGCCCCCAACGCCCTTACGCACGGCCTCTTCCGGTCGTGGGGCAAAGAAGTTCCGGTGAAGACGTCTGCCGATTGGACGCTCGCTGATTTCGAGGCGCCGGGCTTTAGCCGAGGCGGCTGGGGTGTGACCTCCCTGGCGGGCCCAGCCCCGGAGAAAGATGGTTACGAATCCTCTTATTAAAGTGAAATCCGTGTGGGGAGAAATCTATCTTGGTTGTGGGCAGATTGGTAACCTACACGATAATAGGCACGAGTCTGGGAATTAGGCCAATTTCTCCCCAAATTGAACTCTATTCTTGTTTTAAAAAAATATATGTTTTATTGATTTTTTTACAGAGAGGAAGGGAGAGGGATAGAGAGCTGGAAACATAGATGAGAGAGAAACATCTATCAGCTGCCTCTTGCACACACCCCCACTGGGGATGTGCCCACAACCATGCCGTTGACCAGAATCGAACCTGGGACGCTTCAGTCCGCAGACCGTCGCTCTATCCACTGAGCCAAACCGGTCAGGACAAGCTATATTCTTATGGAATCCCAGCCTCTGGTGGGGAAGAGCTTTCTTGAGACTTTTGCCCACTTCACGCTTCAGTTACCATATCGAGAAAAAGGAAAATAACTCGTCCTATAGGTCATTTGAAGAATGTATGGTTTTGTGTATTTTTTTGTTTGTTTGTTTCTTTTCTGGTTTAAGAGGAGGACATATATAAACACGGAAAACTATGGGCCCTGCCTTTCCAGTACAATGTGACAGGGTAGGCCCACGGACAAATGCATGCAGGGAGGTTGGATAATAAACAGTGGTGAAGAAGAGGAAGCACTAAACTTGAAGGTGCTCAAGTATTTGGAAGAAATGGGAGCTGAACAGCTGGGTCAGGGCGGAGAAGTGATACAGCACAGTAAACTGATCTTCGACCCAGTTCTTAAAGTTGAACTGGCTCGCCGAGACCGGTTTGGCTCAATGGATAGAGCATCAGCTTGGCGACTGAAAGGTCCTGTGTTCGATTCCGGTCAAGGGCATGTACCTTGGTTGCGGGCATATCCCCAGTGGGGGGTGTGCAAGAGGCAGCTGATCGATGACTCTCTCTCATCAATGTTTCTAACTCTCTATCTCTCTCCCTTCCTCTCTGTACAAAATCAATAATATATATATATATATATATATTAAAGTTGAACTGGCTTGAGTGTGGGGGCCAGATCATGAAAGGCCGATGCCAACTGAAGTCAGAGTTGATTTTAAAAGCCAGAGATTTCCAACACACTGGAGCTGCAAGGAGTCTCTAGCTCAAATAAATACACTGCAGCACTATTTTTCAAATAAGTTTGCATTCTGATAGGATGAATAGAACACCAATTCATTTAAAAAGTCTAATTGATAGTGTCTCCCTTTCAGCATTTAATAAATTTACCCTTATTAAATGCCACCTATATTGTATGTGAAATACATATTTCTGCATTTGTTTCTGTTGCATTGATCTATTTGCTTTGCTATAATGTCTTTATTATAGTAATTCCATGTGTATGTATATTTTTAAATGTTTTTTTTTTAATTTTAGAGAGGGGAATAGAGAGGGAGAGATAGAAACATCATCTATAAGAGAGAAATATGGATGGGCTTTCTCCTGCACACCCCCAACTTGGGATCCCGCACCCTCAACCCAGGCATGTGCCCTGAGCAGGAATCCAACCAGCCAATTCCTGGTGCATGAAATGATACTCAACCAACTGTGCCACTCCTGCTGGGCCCCTGTATATTTTGGGCGAGCAGATTCTCATTCTACACTTTTCTGCATACAGGTGTATTTTTTCCAAGTGAGTTTTATTTATTTTTAAAATAACTATATAAATTTCAAATATACAACATAATTCAATATGTGTGCTGTATTGCATGCTCACCACCAAAAATCTAGTTTCCCTCCGTTGCCATATATTTGACCCCTTCACTCAATTTGTCCTGCCCCTACCCCCCCCAAATGAATTTTAGATTAAACAACATTGTGTTCCCTTTGCCTTGTCCCCCCAAAACACATTGCTGTTGGAATTCTGATTGTAATTCATGAACCATAAAGTCTTCCCTTTTTTTTTAATATATATTTTATTGATTTTTTACAGAGAGGAAAGGAGAGGGATAGAGAGTTAGAAACATCAATGAGAGAGAACCATCGATCAGCTGCCTCCTGCATGCCCCCCTCTGGGGATGTGCTTGCAACCCAGGTACATGCCCTTGACCAGAATCGAACCCGGGACCTTTCAGTCCACAGGCTGACGCTCTATCCACTGAGCCAAACCGGTTTCGGCAAAGTCTTCCTTTTTAAAAGGGCACGTTAAGTGTACAATTTTGTGACTTTCTGTGCATTCACAAAGTTTTGTGCCATGACCAGATCGTTTTCATCACTCCTAAAGCAATCCTGTACCCATTAACCGTTACTTTCCATTTTCCTCTCCTGTCAGCCACCATCAACCACTAAACTACTTTGTGTCTCCATGGATTTGCTGATTCTGGGCCACTTTTTAAAATATACATATATTTTTATTGATTTCAGAAAGGACGGGAGAGGGAGAGAGATAGAAACATCAATGTTGAGAGAATCATTGTCACTGCCTTCAGCACGCCTCACACTGGGGATTGAGCATGTGCCCTGACTGGGAATCAAACTGTGACCTTCCGGTTCATCGGTTGACGCTCAACCACTAAGCCTCGCTAGCTTGGCTGAACTAGATTATCTTAAAGATCCTACCATCCCTCTCAAAAGTTTATTATATTTTACTAGAGGCCCGGTGCATGAAAATGTATGCACTGGGGGTGGGAGTCCCTCAGCCCGGCCTGCCCTCTCTTTTTATCTTCCCACCATCTAGCACAGTGCCTAACACATAGTAACAGTTTGGGAAATGCTATGATTAGCACACGAATGAATTAATACTGCAAAGGAGAGAAGGGGGGGAGGGAGGAAGAAAAGATCGACTAATCAACCAACAAATTCTAAAAAAGTTAAAGGACCCAAAGTGAAGTTCTTAGAATCAGCCAGTTGGTGGCATCACTTCTCTACATAACCACAAGGGGGTGTTGAACAAGGGAAAGGATTTAGATTAGAAATGAAGAAAGAGAAAGAGAGAGAGAGAGAGAGAGAGACAGAGAGAGAGAGGGAGGGAGAGGGAGGGAGAGAGAGAGAGAGAGAGAGAGAGAGAGAGAGAGAGAGAGAGGAAGAAAGGGAAGGAGGAAGGGAAAGAAAGAAAGAAAATAATTTTAAAAAATATTTTTATTGATTTTGTACAGAAAGGAAGGGAGAGAGATAGAGAGCTAGAAACACTGATGAGAGAGAGTCATCTATCAGCTGCCTCTTGCACGCCCTCCACTGGGTATGTGCCCATAACCAAGGTACATGCCCTTGACCAGAATCGAACCCGGGACCCTTCAGTTCTCAGGCCGACGCTCTGTCCACTGAGCCAAACCGGTTTCGGCAAGAAAATAATTTTTAAAACCCCTTCTCTCCCCCCAGCACTCCAAGGAAACCAAATATCCAACATTGTAATTAGTTGGCAGAGGGCAGGAAGGTGTTGAATATTTTGGAATCCTTTAAAAGCCTCTCTTCTAGCTACCCACCTCCCACCTCTGTTTTCCCATCACAGCAAGCTGTGCAAAGGGTAGGGATATGGGCACAGCATGGGAGGACCAGGGAAGCCTTTTTTCCGGTTGGGACTGAGATCACGGGGAGACAGGATGAGGTGTGGTGAGGGTGTGTCTCAGGGCCCATCTCTGGAATAGCATTGGGGCTGGAGAAGCGTGGGGGATGCTGTGGACTTCCGGCTCCGCAGGCCAGAACCGGAAAGGGGCAGAGGCAGTGGAGGGAGGGCGGTCAGCAGGGAGGTTACCTCATCCTCAGCAGCAGGAACAGGCTGAGGGTCAGGTCCACTCAGGTCCTCTCGGGCTGTGCTCCCAGCAGGGAGGAGACAGGAAGCTGTGCCTTCTCCTCTTCCTCCCTGCCCTTGGCCTCAAGGTCGCTTGCTGCTGCAGTGACTTACACGGTGTTTTAGTTGGCGCTGTCCCCTGCGCTCGGTGGTAACTGCTCGGTACCCTGCTCCCTTGTGCCACGAACACCCCAAACTTTTCCTTTAAAGTAATCGTCGTTAGTGCAACTAGCAACGCACAGCGTGCTTTGTTTTTACATGTATTATCGCATTTCATCACGCCAATCTTCTGAAGCAGAGACTTTTATCTGAACATTTTAAGCAAGGAAACTGAGGCTCAGGGGAGTAAAGTAACTTACCAACGTCACACAGCGAGTGCGTAGCAGACCTGGGACTCCAGAACCTCTGCGCTCCCTTCTCTCTCTCTCTCTCTCTCTCTCTCTCTCTCTCTCTCTCTCTCTCTCTCTCTTGTCTTTGTCTCTCTCCCTCTCTCTCTCTCTCTCTCTCTGACCTGAGTCGACATGCATTCTGATTTCCTGCCATATGCCCCTCCAGGTCCCTTCCCCCAGCCTCTAAGGAAGTACTTTCTGCAGAGCAGGGGGCCCCTGCGTACTGGCAGGAAGAGGGTCTGCACTTCGGTTCCTGCCATCCATGAGGGGGGATATCTCTGGTTCTCTCCCTGGGGTGGAGGATCCGGTCTGATTTTCATGGTGGAGTAATTCCCCTTTCTTCTCTACAGCATAGAGCCCTTCACACACCCACACACACACACACACACACTGTGCAGCCCTCTCTCATCCTGCTCCACCCACCACCAATCATGACCAACAGGGATGGTTGGGTTGTCCCACCCACACCGACCTCTGGGGTCTGGAGCCTCCTGCTGAGAGGCCCTGCCAGCCTGGCGCTAAGCTGGCTGCCTCCGCTGCCCTGAGATGCCCACACCCAATATCTCTGCCCCTCTGCCCGTTTTCTGGCTCAATGTCTCTGCCGGCGGTGTGCGATGCCTGTCGAATTCCTAGCCCCGAGGGCTGTGGTTGCCCTGGCCTTCGGGCTCGTGGGGACCACTGGGTTTATGGGAAGCTTGGCCGTGCTGTGGGTGCTGGGTAACTGTGCTCGGCGAGCCCCTTGCCCACCGTCTGACACTTTGGCCTTCAACCTGGCTGGCGGACTGGGGCTGGCACTCACTCCCCTCTTCTGGGCAGCTGAGGGGACACTGGACTTCCCCTGGCCCTTTGGAGGTGGCCCCTGCAAGAGGGTTCTGACGGCACTGCCTTCAACCTCTACGCCAGCGTCCTCCTCATCACGGACAATACTGGGTGGTGGCTGGGCTGCAGGACCAGGCACCCTTTTCCCCTCTTCTGGGCCCGCATGGCCACCCTGGCAGTGTGGGTGGCAGCTGCCCTGTTGACAGTGCCCACGGCAGTCTCTGGGGCAGAGGGGAGGTGTGGGGCGTGCGTCGTCTATGCCTGTTCGCTTCTCCAGCAGGTACTGGCGGGGGCCTGCCAGCTGCAGAGGGTGGTGCTGGCCTTCCTGGTGCCCCTGGGCATCACCACCAGCTCCTGCGGGCCTTCTGCAGTGGGCAGGATAGCCTGCTCCGGCTGCATCCTGGCGGCCTCCTCCTTCCTCCGCCAGTTCCCCAACCACATGACCGCTCTCTGGAGTGCCCTGTGAAGTCTGACCTGGTACCCGGGACAGCACTCTCTACACCTCCATCCCCATGTCTCCCTGTCACTATCTGCCTGGCACACGGCAACAGCTGCCTCACCCCTGTGCTGGGCTGTCTCCTGCGGCGGGAGGCCCGGCAGGCCCCCTCAGGGAGCTCTGAGCACGGCTGTGGCCCAGAACGGGGGGAAGCAGGTGGGTGAAGGCGGGAGGCAGGCGGTGTGTGGACAGCACCCCCAGGAGATTGGTCCCTCTACCTGCTCACCGACGCGGACAAAAGAACAGCTGGGTGAAGGTACAGACTCCGCACCCTCTTTCTGGGCTCTGCCAGGGGCAGGATCGGTGCATCCCAGGGAGGGCTGCCTGTCTGCCAGGCCCAGATGCCCTCGGAGAAAGTCTTACCTTCCATTCATTCTGGGTGTGGCGGCATGCAGGGGGCCAGGCCCAGGTCAGGGCTGGTGTGAGGAAGCTTATGTCTCCACTTGGAGGCTGGGAAGAGGAGGATCTAAAAATAAACCCTGGATCATCCAGAAATGATCCTCTTTATCCCAATTCCACCCTCAGTCCAGTGTGGATAAATGCACTATTTGTCCCACTCCTGCCTCCTGTGAGAATTCCCAGGGAACATCCCTAAGACTCTTGTCTCACGGATCAGAAGCCAGTGCCTGTCTCTCCCCACCTGTCCTTCCTGCTCTCCATCTCAAAGGGATGTACCCTTGTCCTTCTCTGGTGCCAGGACCAAAAATGCCCTCCTCCCCTGGCCATCCCCATCTTCTCGCCCTCAGCGGTGCCCACAGAAACTCCACGTCCGCAAAAGCCTCAGCTGCAAAAGCTGCAGTGCCCATGGGGGGAGGTGACACCTGAGGGATCCCGCTGGGTCCCTGGCACCAGCCCAGCCGTGTGTGTAAAACTCTTGGTGTTGGCTGGGAGTCCCCGTGTGTGTGTCTCCTTAAATCAGGATTTAGAGGGAGAAGTGAAGATAATGACAAGTCAAGGACGTGGGTGAGGCGCAGTGAGGCGAGACACGCAGGATGGGGGTGGGGGAGAGGCTGAGGGTGCGGCTGGAGGAGGGCAGAGCATGGGCTGTGGGTGCTATTTTTCCTCCCTCCCCCAGAGGCTTCCCTCAAAAGCCCCTGGATTCACATCCTAGCTCCGAGGGAACTGGTAAACTCTTTTCTTCCTCTGGACCCGTTTTCTCTCCTGTAAAATGGGCTGCCACCTGTTAGCTATTCTTTTTTATTTAAGAGCTTATGACTTTTTTATTTTTTAAAATACATTTTATTGATTTTTTTACAGAGAGGGAGAGAGATAGAGAGCTAGAAACATCGATGAGAAACACATCGATCAGCTGCCTCCTGCACACCCCCCACTGGGGATGTGCCTGCAACCAAGGTACATGCCCTTGACCGGAATCGAACCCGGGACCTTTCAGTCCGCAGGCTGACGCTCTATCCACTGAGCCAAACCAGTTTTGGCTGTTAGCTCTTCTTACACTCCGTGTAAAATGGAGTCAGAGAAGGAAAAGGAAACAATGCGGAGCAGCTGGCAGATGGGGCTGGAGGGCCACAGAGGTCTTACCTGGGATGATTTTTACAGGCTTGCAGTAAAATGAAAATTAAGAACTGAGTGAGGGGCTGGCTCCTCAAGGCCCTCTTGAAGGCGTGTTCTTTGGGGCAGGGGGATCCCCTTTGGTTCCAGAGCCACGGAGACCCGAGACCAGCAATGATAAAGGTCAGTCACAGGGACTTTCTGGGGGCAGCCCGAGAAGGGAGGTGGCAGAAAGATGGGGTGGAGCTCCCGCCCCCAGCTCTGGCATGTCTTGCAACCCTCTCTAGCCACTCAAGGTCCCACAACAGCCAGGAGCAGCACCTGTGTGGGGGGCACCCCAGGGCCCACAGGCACCCTGCACCAGCTCCATCCGGTTGCTGAGGCTGTAAACAGCCACCCAATTCACCACGTATTAAGCAATATTGAATAACTCGCCTCCTGATGTTTAATTTCCTTTTTAATAATGTTTAAACCAGTTCTAAAACTCCAGGTCTGTTCCCAGCCAATTCAGGATGGGAAATCCTTACATACCTAAGTGCCCTTCTGCCACCCAACCCCTCAGCTCCTCCACTGACCCCACCTCTGCTGGCTCTGGATACTGGCCTCTGCTTCATGGGGCCCAGGGGCAAATATTGACAAAGTTTGAAAAGGTCCAATCCACCCTTAGGAGGGGTGGGGAGGCAGAAGAGGGCACAGCCATGGAGGCTGGCTGGGCGGCTCCTCTCGAACGGAAAGGCATCGTTTTGGCAAATAGCTGGGCCCTGCCTCCTTGTAGCACCAACAGCTTTGGAACTGCGGGAGACAGTTAAAACGGAGTTTCCCAAAAATGGGGCAACAGGGCCTCTTGTTTCTAAGAACGAGGTGGTTTGGGCCAGGGAGTCACGGTTTTGGGGCAGCACTGCCAGGAACAGAGCTTTGGGCTTCACTCTGGGCCTGCCCAGCATCCTCCCCTGGGTCGCAGTGAACACGTGGGAGGAGCCTGTGTTCCCTTCGCTGGTCTTTGGATACAACCTAACAGCCTCCTCCCACCCAGCCCTAGTCTTCCCCCCTCCTCTCCACCTTTTCACAGCCTGGGGCCCAGCTGACACAGCAGAGGGCTGCTGAGCTGTCAGTTTGAAACCCAGGAGCGCCGGTATTTTTAGGCAGAGTGGTGGAGGGGAAGTGGAGGCCTGCAGCTGGGCCCGCCGGCCTCTCTGCACCTGGATTTCCGTGTCCGTGAGATGAGCCATTCCTGCTGCAGACTCCGTGATGGATGAGCAGGTACCTTGAGGATGAGAACCACGGGAGCAGAGGGTGCTGGCTGCTCCTCCAGGCCCGCCCCACCATGGGATTCCAATTCCTCCTTCTGGCCGGGGTCTTGAGCCCCCTCTTCTCACCTCACCCCATCGGTGCACATGTCTCCTACGGACATCTGTGCACCTACTGCAGCATTTCTACGACTCCAGACTCGCCTCCCCCCCACAGCCCCCGGCAGGGTATTATCCGGAAACAGGAAGTAAAATTAATCAAAACGAGAACTGATGCCGAAACCAGTTTGGCTTGGTGGATAGAGCATCGGCCTGCGGACTGGAGGGCAGGTTCGATTCTGGTCAGAGGAGAGTGCCTTGGATGTGGGCACATCCCCAGTGGGAGGTGTGCAGGTGGCAGCTGATCCATGTTTCTCTTTTATCTCTCTCTCTCCCCCTTCCTCTCTGCAAAAAAATCAATAAAAAAAAAATTTTTTTTTTTAAAGAGAACTGAAATGAACATGATCTCCCACTGCCTCTGAGAGCAAAGGAGAGCTCCTCGGAGGAGGACCACCTGGAAGAGGGTGCCCAGGGCTCTGCCGCCGTGAAGGGGACAGCGTGGTGACTGAGCCTGAAAGCAGGTGACACCGCAGAGGCTCAGGGGAACTGAGCCCAGAGGGAAGGGAGGGGCCGGAGGCCGATGCCCTTTCTGAGCACAGCATGCAAACGAGATGCAAACAAGGCTTCTAATATTGGAGTCTCCAGTCCTAGTTTGTGAATATCAATAATGATAACAGAAAGAGGAGGTAGCCGTTCCTTTTGTTAGGGTCTGCCTTGCCCTTCTGGTGGGGAAGGCCCCTTTCCGAGGGCCGCGGCCACTCCCTGGTTCTCCCCTCAGCAGCACCAGCAGCACCTCAGACGTTCAGAGACAGCACTGCGTGGGGTTCCAGGTCTTTAATTTTCCTTTCTTTACCTTTCATCCCCCCCCCCCTTTTTTTTTACACAATCAAATTGGTAGAAAAATGGCTGGCGCTGGTGGGCGTTTGGGGGTCCATAGCGATTTCCCAACTCACCCTAGAACTTTATTTCCAAGTGGCTGCGGAAGAGGTCAGACTAGTCCCCCCGTGACTATGGATGAGGGGTGACGTCACGGTTCCCCCCTCCCCTCAAGTTCTTCAGCGACGTGGAGATAGGAGGCTAACGTTCCTAATTGCCTACAATCTTCTCTTAAAAATATAAAACACGTGCAGTTGGCTTTGGTACAAAAAAAAAAAAGCAAACAACAAAAAGACATTCTGGTCCCTGTGGGTTTTTCCCCTCCCCCACAACAGACCATTATGGCCACCTCAACCTCTGCTCCATCCGCTCCAGGAAGCCAGGTTGACTCTCTGGGGTCCCACGGAGGACGGAGAGGAGAGAGCACAGCAGTGAGAGGTTGAGGGGAGAGGGATACGGCCTGCCCATAGCCCTTCTGAGAGGGGCAGTCGGGTCCCGCAGCTGCAGCCCCTCCTCAAAGACGACGCTGCTGGGAGGGCGGCAGGGCTGGTACCCGGCCGCTGCATGGTTATTATGTCTGAATAAACCCCAGTAGTGTTCAAGGACAAGGCCCCTTGTTCCCTATGGCTTGGCTCCCATGTCCCTGGTCCTCTAAGTCCCCTTTCTCCCTCCATAACTAATAAACAATAAATAAATAAACTTTTCCTAAAGTAGAGGGAAGAAGGCATGAAAAGTTGGCATCTGTGGTGTACTTCCGGATGCCACCAGGGGGCACTGTGGCCTAATTTCCCCACCCAGCTTCCTCAACGGCCCCAGGTATCCAAGGATCCCAAGAGCTGGCAAGGACAATCAGCAGTTCAAGTGTTCCCTGGTCATTGGCAGGTTGGAGCCCCCAAGGTGTGCCCCCCTCAGTAACGTTCTTCAGGGGGCACAGGCAGGAGGGAGGGGCCCCCTTAGCTCTCCGGAGCTACCAGCTCCTCATCGCGGCTCTCCGTCTCCTCGGGTATGTCCTGCATCCTGGTGAAATCTGCAGGGGACAGGGCGAAGGCAGTGAGTGGACAGAGGCTCCCTGAGCACCCCTACCCTATTGCCCCCTCCACCCCCCCATCTGCGGGCTGAGGAGCTCTAACGGCTGTGAGGGATGACCGAGGCCTGTGAATCCCTGGGGAGGGAAAAACCTCTGTCAACAAAGTAGGTAATGTGCTCACACCTTGGCAGGCAATACTTTATATACTGGTAAGTATATGAAGATACAACTTGATTAATAAAGTAACAAAATGTTTTAAGATCGCTCTATGAAGTTATAGTAGCTTTTGGTTATTTTGTGTTTCCTTAGCCGACTCTAAGAACTTGGAAGTCTGTGACTTTTTTTTTTCCAACTTAATAAAAAATCTCTTTCTAAAAATAAATAAATCGAACCCTAACCCTAGCCGGGTAGCTCAGTTGGTTACAGCATCGTCCCAATATGCCAAGGTTGCTGGTTCAGGTCCCGATCAGGGCACATACAAGAATCAACCGATGAATACATAAGTACGTGGGTGTTTCCCTCTCTCTCCCCTTTCCTTTCTCTAATATCTATGTATTTCTACTTGGAAAAAAGTTGGGAATCAAACGACTTACTGGAGAAGGAGTGGCCCCTACGTCCTTTGCTTCCTAGAGTTTCCCCACTCCTTCCCATCAGACAAACAGGAAATCCTCGAGTCCTTCCCAAGAGCTACGGCAGACCTCAGTGTTAGTGCAGAGCCTCCTACATGTTCCTGAGCTCCAGGACACAGCCTCCGCTCGCAAAGCACAGCCACGGGCCTGAGCCCAGGTCCCCCACTCCCACTCCCCGCCTCCGCCAGGACCTCACCTCGAGGACTGTGGGGCGGAGACAGGCGGCTGCTCCCTTCCTCCTCGCTGCCCGTGTCAGGGTCGCTGCTGTCCTGTAGCCGCTCCTCGGGGCTGCCCAGCTCCTGCCCCTCTCGGTCCTCGAAGGGTCGGTGGACAGAGCGAACAGACACAGGGAAATCCAGGCAGTCATGGCCTCGACTGGGCTGTGGGCCGCACGCAAGGAGAGCAGCAGGTCAGGACCGAGGAGCGTGAAGACTGCAGACCCTGCTCAGCTCTGGGCCCCAAGACTCAGTTTCCCCAGCAGATCCACCGCTGACTGACTGCTTCCTGCACCCACCCCAAGGTCCAGCTCTAGTCCTTCGAATCTGCTGCCCAGTTTCATTGGGGCTCAAATCCCCAATTCCTGCCGAAACCGGTTTGGCTCAATGGATAGAGCATCTGCCTGCGGACTGAAAGGTCCCAGGTTCGATTCCAGTCAAGGGCATGTATATTGGTTGCAGGCACATCCCCGGTAGGGGGTGTGCATGAGGCAGCTGGTCAATGTTTCTCTCTCATCGATGTTTCTAGCTCCCTATCCCTCTCCCTTCCTTTCTGAAAAAAATCAATTATATATCTATATATAAATTTAAAAAATCCCCAATTCCGCCGAGACCGGTTTGGCTCAATGGATAGAGCGTCGGCTTGGGGACTGAAGGGTCCCGGGTTCGATTCCAGTCAGGGGCATGTGCCTTGGTTACGGGCATATCCCCGGTAGGGGGTGTGCATGAGGCAGCTGGTCGATGTTTCTCTCTCATCGATGTTTCTAGCTCTCTATCCCTCTTCCTTCCTCTCTGTAAAAAATCAATTATATATCTATATATAAATTTAAAAAGTCCCCAATTCCTTCCAGGTTCTCGCCTGGGCCCCGGTGTCCACCTCCGGTCAGGTCACTGCCCCGCGCTCCCTTACCTGCGGGGGGCTGAAGCTCAGGTACAGGGCGTCGCCTGCGGGCAGGCTCCGGCGCCGAGGGTCCGGAGGCCGGCGGGCCCAGGGGGCCTCCTGGGGCACGGGGTCGGCCTGGCCCAGCGCAGCCAGCTGCCTGCGCGCCTCCTCCGCCTCGCGCTCCAGCAGCGCCCGGGCCTGCTCGCTCTCGCGCAGCCGGGCCTCCAGGCTGCCGGCCTCCGCCGCCCGCTCCTCCCCGAGGCGCCGGCAGCGCCGCAGCTCCTCCTGCAGCAGCGAGTGCTGCCGCCGCAGCAGCGCCAGCTCCGAGGCCTGCTGCTCCGCGGCCCCCGCGGCCCCCGCGGCCCCCGCGCGGCCCGCCCCCGCGTCCCGGGAGTTGGCTCGGGTCAGCTTCTCCCTCCGCTCCGGGCCCTCGGGGACGCGGGCTTCCATCAGCGTGTCCTGCTGGGCCACGGCCGCCTGGGTGCGATGGGGACGGGGGAGTCTGTCAGAAACCCCGCTGCTTCCACCCCTCACCCTCATCACCCCTAGGAACCAGGTCGGGATCCCGGAACGTTCCTTCTATGGGAGGAGGCTCAGAAAGGCCTACCGGGCCCTGGCCACCACGGCCTGGCTGGATGAGCATTGTCCCATGCACCGAAGGGTCACCAGTTCGATTCCCAGCCAGGGCACATACTCCGTTTGCAGGTTTGATCCCCCGGTCAGGGTGCATGCAGGAGGCAACCAATTGATGTTTCTCTTTTTCTCTCTCCCTTTCCCATCCTCTCTCTCTAAAATCAATAAAAACGTATTTAACTTAAAAAAAAAAAAAAAGGAAAGAAAGAAAGTCCTATCGGAATGCTCCGTCCCACCTGAATGGCAGTTCTGCGCTGGCTCCTCCCCTTCCGCGGTCCCGCCCCAGCCCCTCTCACCTGCAGGCCATGCAGAAGTCCGTACAGATTGACCAGTCGCTGCAGTGCTTCCTGAGGACAGAGGAGAGAGGGGGGACAGGGCTTGAGCTTCCGGATGGGAGAACTGCCGGGAAGTGAAGTGTGGGTGTGGGGACAGTAAAACTGAGGATAACTTTGAGGTACGGACCCTCCCCTACACCCCTCCCCAAACTGGGCTTCCGTTTCTCAAGACGAAGACTATCCTCCCTTCAGTCTCCTACGTATCATCAATGAGATGGGGCATCCACTCCCCATCTCACCTCCTGGGGAGATCTCAGCTGATTTCCATTTCGATCCTGCAGAAACGGGCAAGGAGAGGGGGGTCAGCAGGCACCCAAGTCCCTGGAGCCTGTTCCTGACAGCTCCACGTTAAGGATCTACAGGCCAGCTGTCCCTTCCCCACCCTCTAGCCGCGTCCCGACATCTCCCGAGGACCCACCTTCTGGCTGGAGTCCGAGTCGGCTCTGCAGAGCTCGATCGCGCCATTGAAGGTTCTGGCCTCACCATCTGTTGAGGAGGAAAGGATGGGCTGAGCTCACTTCCCCAGGACTCGGTACCACCCCATTCTCTTTCATCCCCTCACCCCCACCCCACCAGCTTGGTCCCCGGCTGGCACTCACTGGCGGTGATTCCGGGACTCATGTTCCCGCCGCTGTCTGCTTCCGAGGGCAGGCCTGGCTCCCGGGGCGCCAGCAGCTCCACGCCGGGCCCCACGAGCAGGTCTTTCAGGCCCTCCACTGAGGGAGAGGAGGAGAGGGGAGGGCAGAGGTCACACCGGGCCCTGTGCGGAACGGGCGGCGGTGCCCTCTGCCCAACACGCTCGGACTCCAGACACCCAGGCCAGTGGTTGGCAAACTCCCGTCCACAGAGCCAAATATCAACAGTGCGACGACTGAAATTCCTTGTGAGAGCCGAAAACCGACTTCTGCACATGGGCCACGAAGTTTCACTCGCACTGGACGTGCGCGCCCGCACTGGTACTTTGTGGAAGAGCCACTCTCAAGAGGACAAAGAGCCGCATGTGGCTCGCGAGCCGCAGTTTGCCCACCACAGACCTAGGGGAATACCCTGCGCACGTGGGCTCCCCCTCACGGGAGGAGCCAGGGCAGCGCAGGTGCCGGGAGGTGCCGGGTGTCCGTCTCTCCCCGCCTCTCCCAGCACCGCCCGCAGTGGGCACTCGGGGCCGACACCCCTTCTGTCTGCACGCGTGCAGGTCCAGCTGTGTGCCCACCGCCCGTGACAGGGCGTGGACGAGCCGGACTCGCCCCGGGCGTGCCCTCACCCTCACGGATGGCATCCTGCAGCAGCCGCTCGCCACGAGGGGACTCGAGGGACTCGGAGCGGAAAAGGCCCCTGGGCAGGGTGGGCAGGGGCACCCCGCAGCCGCCGTTCTCTGCCACCTGGAAGTGGGTCATCTCGGCAAACAGCCCGACCTTCTCCTGCAGCAGCTCCACCAGCGCGCGGTCCTTCTGCTGCAGCTCCGCTGTGGACAAGGGACAGGTGAGCACAGGGCGGCCGAGGGGGCACCCAGAGCCGCCCCAGGGGCAGCCCGATGGGTTATGGGCCAGACTTAATTTTGATTTGGGGCATGTCTGAAAAAGAAAGAACTTCCCCCCTCAAAATGTTCGTATGTGTTCTTTCTTTTTTAAAAACAAAAGTGAGCCAAAACCGGTTTGGCTCAGTGGCAGAGCATCGGTCTGCGGACTGAAAGGTCCCAGGTTTGATTCCGGTCAGGGGCATGTACGTTGGTTGCGGGCACATCCCCAGGAGGGGGTGTGCATGAGGCAGCTGGTCGATGTTTCTCTCTTTCATCGACGTTTCTAGCTCTCTATCTCTCTCCCTTCCTCTCTGTAAAAAACCAATAAAATATATTTAAAAAAAAATAATAATAATAATAAAAAAATAAAAATAAAAACAAAAGTGACAGCCCTGTCTGGGTAGCTCAGTTGGTTAGAGTGTAGTCCCAATACATCAAGGTTGTGGGTTCGATCCCTGGTCAGAGCACATATAAGAATCAATCGATGGCCCTAGCCGGTTTGGCTCAGTGGATAGAGTGCCGGACTGCTGACTAAGGTTCGATTCTGGCCAAGGACATATGCTCTGGTTGTGGGCTCGATCCCTCCCAGTGGGGGGGGAGGGGGGCCAGCCAATCAGTGATACTCTCTCATCATTGATGCTTCTATCTCTATCCCTTCCTCTGAAATCAATAAAAAAATATTTAAGAAAAGAATCAATCAAAGCATGCACAAACAAGTTGATGTTTCTCTCTCTCGCTCTCTCTCCCCCTCTCTTTCAAATCAATAGATAAGTAAAGTAAAAATGGTTTGTGGTAGAGATTGAAGGTTGCCCACCAGTTTTTACTCTCCCCACCTTCCTTTAGAGAATGTGTACAAGTTTCATCTGGGCGCATGCTACCCTGTCAGACTACATTTCCCAGCTTGATTTGCAGCTAGACATTGCCATATGACTAAATTCTGGCCAATGGGTGCATCTTCCAGATCTGTCCTCAATAGAAATGGGACATATTGCTGACGAGTGTGGCATGGACCCATGAACCAGGAGGTCATAGTTTGGTTCCCAGTCAGGGCACATGCCCAGTTTGCAGGCTCGATCCCCATTAGGGGGCATGCAGGAGGCAGCCAGTCGATGATTCTCATCATTGATGTTTCCATCACTCTCTCCCTCTCTCTGTAATCAATGAAACCATAAAAAAAGAAGAAAAAAAGAAAAGAGAAAAGAAACAGATATATGTCCTGGCTAGTATGGCTCAGCTGATTGAACATTATCCCATGCACCAAAGTCTTGCTGGTGTGACTCCCCGTCAGGGCACATGCCCAGGTTGCAGGTATGATCCCCAGTTGGACTGTAAGCAGGAGGGAACCATGAAAGTTTTTCTCTCAAATCAATAAATATTTTTAAAAATGGTTATAAACTCTCCTTGTTCCTTTACTCCTCGCTGCTGGCTGGGATACAGATCACGCCCTAACTAAAATAAGACCCCAAAAGTAAGTTATTGTCTCAATCCTGGTCTTCCTAGTTCCCCTTCCCAGAAGCAGCCATAATAACTGATCTTTTTTTGAGACATTACACACACACACACACACACACACACACACATTATCCCCATCATTTTTACACTAACGGTAGCATACACTTTACAAGTTTACATTGTCTTAAACCTTGCTCCTTTCCCTTAACAACAGGTGTTAGTTATGGGCCTACAGCAGCCCTCAGACAGCCACGAGAGGCGGATAAATGATTTAACGCATTTTGTGGGTGGGACTTACTCTTGATTCGCCGCAGGTAAGCCTCATCCTCTGTCTCAATCAGGGGGAAGTCCTCGCTGGATGGGCATCTGGAAAGGTAACAGGGCGGTGGGGGTAAGGGAGGAAGCTAGGCTACACTCTCCCTCCTTCGCAAGCATGTTCTGTGCTTCCTGGTACGATCCACCAGCCGCATGCCCTGGCCTCCTTAACTCCTGACCTCCCCCTCTCTTAGCACCGATCACCTCCATTCCCCTAAGACTGCTTTAAATCTAATGTGTGTCCAACAGAGGCTAAAGATTTGCTGCTTTAACCCAGTTGGTATGGTTCAGTGGTTGAGCGTCGACCTATGAACCAGGAGGTCATGGTTTGATTCCCAGTGTGGGGTGTGCAGGAAGTGGCCGATCAATATCTCTCTCATCAACGTGTCTATCTCTCTCTCCCTCCCCCCGCCTCTAAAAAGAAACACGACAACAAAAACATATATATATATATATATATATATATATATATGTATATATATATATATATATATATATATATATATATATATATATATGTATGTATATATATAGTTTTTTTGTGTGTTTTTTTTCCCCAAAGATTTGCTGCTGTAGCACACCAAACAATTTCCTTCTTGTCTCTCTTGGTTGGAGTTTGTTTATGAGACTGCTCCTCTTATCTCCAGTATCAATGCTTTCATTATCTTCTTTTTCCTTCCTTTTTAGAAAACAGAGGTAAAACCCAATCCAATCCAAATAACGGCCCACTGCCTGCAGATCAAATGCTAAAGCAGCTGAAATTGGGGGGGTCGGCCTGGTTGATATTCCACCACATCACAGCTCAAAGCATTACTTTGAGAAACGCATCAAGCTGCGTTTGACAGGTCATTGGGGTTTTCGTCCTATACGAAAACATAAGATGACCTTCCCTGCCTTGCCTCCCCTCAGCCTCTGCCTCCACCTCTGAACCCTGGGTCCTGATCCCAGGGAACGCTGTGGCCGGGGCCCCAGAGCTGCAGGTGCCACGAGGCCACACACACACACACACACACACACTCACGCGCACACGCACACGCACACTCACATGCCCACACTCTGCTGAATGACGCGGATCCAGGTGTTCCGATCTTCCCGGGATGCCGTGTGGACCTCATACATCTCCGGGGGGGTGTTCGAGCTGATCAGAAACATCCCTTTCTCCTGGTTGGCAATGTCCCGGACGATGAGCTTCTGCAGTGAGATCACCGCGGACTTGTCCTGCTGCCCGGGGAAAGGAAGGATTAAGCCTGGCAATCCCGACCTTCGGGCACCTGCATGGGCTTCGGCTCTTCGGGAATAAACAAAGCGAGGAAGAGTCCATGGGCAGCACAGGCTCAGAGCCCTGGCTTTGGTGCCAGCCCGACAGGACCTAGAAGTACCTGTGACCCTGGACAATTTAATGAACTTCAAGCTTGACTTCCCTCATCGACAAAAAGGGAGCATTACTAAACCAAAGACCTGGTGTGCATATACGTGGACACAGACAATAAAGGGGGGTGAAGGCCTGGGGCGGGGTGTGGGGGCGGGCTGGAGGAGGTCAACGGGGGGAAAGGGAATATGTAATACCTTCAATCATAAAGATTTATATTAAAAGGGGGGGAGGTATTAATTGGCCTTCCTCCCAGGTGTAAAAGTGCCTGCACACAGTAACAACACCTGTTAGTTACTCCTATTCCTTCTTATTTTATTAATAGAGGCATGGTGCATGAAATTCGTGCATGGGGGTGTCCCTCAGCCTGGCCTGCGCTCTCTCGCAATCTGGGACCACTGCTCCCTAACCGCTTGCCTGCCTGCCTGATTGCCCCAACCACCTCTGCCTCAGTCCCTACGCCTGGGACCCAGGTTTTCCTGCTCCAGCCAGCCACAGGCCCTGGCTTTGTCATGAAGGACATCTGAAGATGTCCAGTCCAATTAGCATATTACCCTTTTATTGGTATAGATAGTAACTAGAGGCCCAGTGCATGAATTCATGCATGAGTGGGGTCCAGCCAGCCGCTGGCCTGGGGGAGGGGACACGGGCAGTTGGCCAGCCTGCCTGTTGGTCGAACTCCTGGTTGAGGCGACAATTTGCATATTACCCTTTTATTACATAGGATGGTTGCAACCATGGCTATTTCAGGGTTCTTTCAGACTCAGGTAGGAAAGCAAAAAGGACCCGAAACACCAGTCTGTGCTGGCTGAGGAAGGAGGTGGAGGGGCTTACCAGGGTAGGAAAGATGTACTTCTGGTCCTTCTCTTGGAGAAACACTAGCACGTCTGTCATCAGCAGCATCAGCACATCTGGGGGGACCGAGGCGGGAGGCAGTCAGCAGGAGAGGGTCTCAGCAGCTGTTTCCTCTTCCCCAAGGATCAGGCTGGCCCCTCGAGTTACAACTCCTGGTCCCCCTCCTCCTGCCTCTCTTCCCTCTGGTTGCTCCCTCCACCCGTGCAGACCTCCTGCCTCCTCATTCTTACAGCTCAGACTGCGAGAGGGGAGAAACGTAGGTGCTATCTATCGGGCAAAACAGCTTCTTAGGCTAGAAGAGACCATCAGGGATTACCCAGCGTCTTTAAGGAAAAACCTCCATACCCAACCGATACAGGTTGTACTTTGTTTTGTTTTTAAAATATATTTTTATTGGTTTCAGAGTGGAAGGAAAAGAGAGAGAGAGAATCAATCATCAATGATGAAAATCATTGATCAGCTGCCTCCTGCACAACTCACACTGGGGGATCAAGCCAGCAATCCAAGCCGGGCATGTGCCCTGACCAGGAATCAAGCCGTGACCTCCTGTTTCATGGATTGATGCTCCACCACTGAACCACACTGGCCAGGCTATGCAGATTTCTTAACCTGAAGTCCACAGACCCCTACAATGTCCCCTGCTGGGCTCCAGAGGCTCTGCAAACCATCTGGAGTTGCACAAGCAGCTTTGCATCCGAATAGAAAGTGCTTTTTGGGTGAGAGGGTCCGGAGATAAAAAGGATTCCCAGAGCAGGAGGGGCCACCCTTTTCAACCTTCCAGCTCTCACTGTAACACTAACACCTGACCTTTGGAACGCTGGACCCAAATTCCCCGGCCCACATATTCCCACTTCTCGTTTTGTGCAGGGTGGGCAGGGGGAACGTTGGGTTCCTCACCCATCTCTCTCACAGTGAGCAACGCCATCTCCTTCCGCTCCAGCAGCCCCCCGCCCCCTTCCCGCCTCTCCTCTGCCCCCCCTCCCAGGCCCTCAGATCCTATGAAGCCCGGCGCTGTAAGACAGCAGCGGGAACAGAGGGCAAGCCCATAAAAGGCGGATGTCATGGTCTCGAAAGCACACACTTGCCGGCCAGCGTGGCTCAGTGGTTGAGCATCGACCTATGAATCAGGAGGTCACGGTTCGATTCCTGGTCAGGGCACAGGCCTGAGTTTCAGGCTCCATCCCCAGAAGGGGGCATGCAGGAGGCAGCCAATCAATGATTCTCTCTCATCACTGATGTTTCTCCCCCCCCCCCCCTCTCTCTCTCTCTCTCTCTCCTTTCCTTCCTCTATGAAATCAATAGAGATATATTAAAAAAGAATAAATAAATTTAAACAAAAAGAAAAAAAATGAGGCAAAACCGGTTTGGCTCAATGGATAGAGTGTCGGCCTGCAGACTGAAAGGTCCCGGGTTCGATTCCGGTCAAGGGCATGTACCTTGGTTGCGGGCATATCCCCAGTGGGGGGTGTGCAGGAGGCAGCTGATTGATGATTCTCTCTCATCGATGTTTCTAGCTCTCTATCCCTCTCTCTTCCTCTTTGTAAAAAAACAATAAAATATATTTTTTTTAAAAAAAAGGAAAAAGAAAAAAAAGAAATGAGTAAACACTGATGAAGTCCCTGACTGGTCCATAAAGCTAACTCCAGAATGCAGACTTTCGCTGCCACAGAGACCGTGCTTATCCTCCAGCAGGCCTCACGCTGCAGAGAGAGGTCAGGGCGAGCGCTCCTCCCTCAGCCTGAGCCGGCCTGCGGGGCGACCCTGACCTTTGAAGCGCCCGGTGTTGGTGTTCTTCCAGAGCAGGCAGCCGTCGTGGATGAGCTTGCGCCGCAGAAGCTCCTCCCGGCCGAAGGGGCCCTTGCCGGGCACCGGCGTCTGGACCCGGGGGTCCATGCGGCTGTAGATCTCCTGCAGGCGGGCCCCCTTCTCCAGCTCGTGCACGTCCTGGTCCACGTTGGACAGCAGCGCCTTCACCATGCCCAGCGCGGTGCTCAGGTCCCGGTGCTCCTCCTCCATCCCTGGCCCCGGGGGCACGAGGGGCAGCTCAGCGACTCCGCCCCCGCCTCAGCGCCCTTCCCTTCGGGCCGGGACCCCGCCTCCGGAGGCTGCCCGGGGTCCACCTGACTCTCCCCCTTCCCTGGGTCACCCCAGGCCTTCTGTTACCCGCGGCCGGCCCCTCACCGTGGGAATGCTGCAGGATCCGGCTGATGAGCACCGGGTACTTGGTGATGCGCTGGGTCACCAGCAGGATGCACTCCTGCACCCCGTGCCGCTTCAGCACGGCCAGGCGGGTCACCTTCTGAAGGACAGAGGAGGGCTCAGGGCGGGACGGGGAGCGGGGGGAAGGCAGCACGGACAACGCTGGGCTCGGAGCCCGCGCGCGGTGCTGGCACAGCTCGGCCATGGCCGCCCTGTGGCTGAGGTGAGTGCAGCTGGGAAATGAGGTTCGCTGGGAGCAGGGGAAAGCTCCCGCGGTGCGGTGCGGTGCGGTGCGGTGCGGCCGCCGGGGCTGGCCCTCAGGACTGGGAGCTCCTGCTCTGCACGCGGGTGCAGTGGACCTGGCCCGGGGAGGGGGGGCGGGTTTGGGCACCGGAGGCGCTGCGCGCGGTCCCGGAGGAATGCTCACCCGGATGAACTGCTGGAAGCGCTTGTCCCGGGCGTACAGCTCCTTGTAGAGCTTTAAGGCCTTGGTGTGGCGGCTGCAGAACTCCGAGTAGGTCTTCCGCATCTGCTCGGCGCTGGGACCGGAGAACTGGAAGTTGGGGGACCAGGGCTGGATCGGCATATCCTCCAACGCCACCCCTTCCCCCTGGGTACTCTCTGGCCGCCAGCCGAACAGGCCGTCTTCCTGCCCCTCCAGTTCTCCCTGGCTCTACCCCCCCGAGCCATGGTCGGCAAACTCATTCGTCCACAGAGCCAAATATCAGCAGGACAACGACTGAAATGTCTTTTGAGAGCCAAAATTCTTTAACTTAAACTTCTTCTAACGCCACTTCTTCAAAATAGACTCTCCCAGGCCGTGGTATTTTGTGGAAGAGCCACCCTCAAGGGGCCAAAGAGCCGCATGTGGCTTGAGAGCCGCAGTTTGCCAACCACAACTCTAGAGTTTGGAGGCAAGAAATGCCCTCTCTGGCCCTGGCCAGTATGGCCACCGGTTCGATTCCTGGTCAGGGCACATGCCCAGGTTGTGGGTTGGATCCCTGACTGGGGTGAGTATAGGAGGAAACCAATCCATGTTTCTCTCTCACATAGATGTTTCTCTCCTTCTCCTTTCCTCTCTCTCTAAAATCAAGAAAAACATATATGTTTTTAAAAAAATACATCTTATTGATTTTTTTTTACAGAGAGGAACAAAGAGGGATAGAGAGCTAGAAACATCGATGGGAGAGAAACATCAATCAGCTGCCTCCCGCCCACCCCCGCACTGGGGATGTGCCCCCAACCAAGGTACACAGCCTTGACTGGAATCGAACCTGGGACCTTTCGGTCTGCAAACCAATGCTCTATCCACTGAGCCACACCGGTTTTGGCTGACCTCTCCTTTTTATCCCCACCCTCCCTCTGAAGTCCAACAGTCTGGCCCATGGCTCCTTACCTCTGGGTCTGTCCTTGCTCATCAGTCTATCTCATACACACAGTATATTTTTCAAAAGCAGCGCCCGCTGCAGCCGCCGCCCCCTCTCACCTGGCCGATGAGCAGGTCCCCCAGGCGGGGGATGACGAAGTTGCGGGTGCTGCCCGGGCACAGGGCCTGCCGCCGGCGCTCCAGCAGCTGGCTGAGGAAGCGCGTGTGGATGTCGCTGAGCTCGTCCACGCAGGGGAACAGCCCCTGCACCGCGGCCGGCTCCAGCTGCAGCTCCTCCAGCATGCCCGTGCGGAACAGGCGCGTCATGATCTTCAGCGTCCGCACGTGGTGCAGCTCCGTCCGGATGAGCTCTGTGTGGACAGCGGGACAGCGGGCCTCTCTCTACCTCGGCTCGGCCGCAGTCGGGGGGCCTGGGGGGGGGGGCCTCAGAGCGCCCCGGGAGGTTTGCAAGGTCCCTTCCAGGTCAACGTTCTGCATTCTTAAGACCTTAGGTCATTTTCTGCCGGGACCGGTTTAGCTCAATGGATAGAGCGTCTGCTTGGGGACTGAAGGGCCCCGGGTTCGATTCCGGTCAAGGGCATGTACCTTGGTTGCGGGCATATCCCCAGTAGGGGGTGTGCAAGAGGCAACTGATCGATGACTCTCTCTCATCGATGTTTCTAACTCTCTATCTCTCTCCCTTCCTCTCTGTACAAAATCAATAAAATATATTTAAAAAAAAAAAAAAAAAAAAAAAAAGACCTTAGGTCATTTTCTAACCGTTTTTTATCTTTACGATTGTTATCTCAAGTCGTAAGCTGCTGCAGGGCAAGGACCCTGAATGTGTCTACACGTCCAGGTTTCCCCCAGCCCCTCGCACAAAACAGGCCCAGAGGAAAGACTACGAACTGACCAGCGTAAAGGGATAGAGACAGAGCCTTGGGGACCAGCAGTCCCCAGCGGCCATCTGTGGGATGCCAGGCAGGGACTGGGAGACCAGTGGGGGTAAGTGGGAAGACTTGAGAGGTGGGGACGGGCAGTAGGACACCAGGAGACAGGACCCAGTGCAGGCAGAGAAGCCTCGGGGTGGTCTGGGCTCACCATAGATGACATCCTGCTGCTTCATCACCTCCTTTTTATGCTGCTGCAGGAAGCTGCTGTCCACAGCCAGGCTCCAGGAATCGGCCGCAAAGTCCTTCTCGTCCATCTCGAAGTCACTCATCAGCTCATTGTAGATCACCTCTGCACCTGGACACAAGCGGGGGCAGCCATTCAGCGCCCGTTCCCCACGTCCGGGGTCCTTCTCCAGCCCCCTCCCGGCTCTGCCCCTCCGGCCGGCCCGCCCGCCGGCCCCTCCACCCCAGGCGCCGGGCCCCGCGGTCACCTTCGTCGATGAGGGACTCCACCGAGAGAGTCCGGTTCCGCACGTTGAGGGAGTCCGTGGACTGGGAGAGGATCCGGCGCAGGCCCAGCGGAGACTCCTCGTTGAAGTGTCTGCGGGGGGCACGGGGCGGCTGCATCACCCACCTCCGGCCGAGCGCCCGTCCCAGGGGCGGGACCGAAGCCGGGCCCCCCCCCGAGGCCGTCGCCTGCGTCCTCCTTACCTGCCCCCCTAATTCTGAACCCGGGAAGGCAAGGACCGCCCCCGCCCCCGCCCCCGCCCCCTGCCCCCCCAGCGGAGGCTCACCCAGCGATGTTGGTGGTGGACACGCTCTTGGCCAAGGACAAGGAGGAGCGGCCGCGGCGGGAGCCCAGCAGGGACTGCCGGAAGCTGTCGGAGGGGTAGATGGCGGAGCTCGGCCGCTCCCGCGTGGTGGCTGCGGAGGGGACGCCGGGCGGCAGCCGTCAGCCGCGGCGCCTCCCCGGGCCCCGGGCGCCCCCGGCTCCTCGGCCAAAAGGCAGGCCCCCCTCCCCGCCCACCCTGCGCCCACTCCGGTCGAAGCGAGACGCTAACGGTGACGCTGCCTTGGTGGGTGCGATCCTGTCAACCTACAAAAAGCTTTTCTTTGTCCTGACCCTTCCCCTCAGCACGCCTCTGAGCACCCTGGAGCTCAGAAAGGCCCTGAGTCTCGTCCGGGGTGACTCAGCCGGTGGGCGAGCAGGGACTCACCCCTGACCGAGCCCCGCGCTGCTCCCTGTCCCGCCAGAGCCGTCTGCGCGGACCCGGGGCAGCTGCCACCAACACCGAGTGCAGCGTCAACAACAACCGTAATAACAACACAGGTGTGAGGGGGTGCGGAGGGCCAGCCGCCCCCGTCCCCACCCCCGGGATCCTTCTGTCCGGCCCCCGCGCCCGAGAGCCCGGACAGCTCGCCGCCTGCCTCCCGTTCAGGGGAGGAAGGTGCTGCGCCAGGGAGCACAATCGAGGGGGCAGCAGAGCCCGTGGCCCGGGGGGCTCCTGAACCCCCTCACACTCACCCTTACTGCGGAGGGACACGGACTGCAAGGCAGTGCTGTTCTTCAGCAGCGCAGCCTTCTGTTGCTATAAGACAAGACAGAGAGAGAGAGAGAGAGAGAGAGGGAGAGAGAGAGAGAGAGAGGGAGAGGGAGAGGGACACCAGGACAGCTGTCACCCAGCGGCACCCCCAGGGCACAGGGCAGGCGCTGGGCAGCTGGCCCCCTGGGGAGAAAGCTGGTGGGGCTGCTGGAGCATCGGGGTGGTTGCGCCCGGGGCCGGGGAGCCAGGTCTGTAGCCACAGGCCGGCCTGCTCGGGCCTGAGGCCTGGGGCTGAGGGTCTGGGCCGCCCCACGGTGAGGAGAGGGGTTGACTGGGTAAGGGGGAGGGTGGGGGGGGATGGAAAAGGGCACCGCACACTCACTACCCTCTCCCCAGCCCCCAGCCCTCCCTGCGTCTCACCTTCTGCTTGACCTTGGTACAGTTGGCCAGGGTGTCTTTACAGCGGTTGTGGATAGTCACATTGCAGGCTGGGAGGGTGGGGTAAAGAGGGTGAAGGGAGGGCCCGGTGGTACAGACACCCATCTCCCCGTGGCCACACAGCCCTGGAGACCGTCCTCCCTTCCCAGACTTCTCAGCCATCACCGCGCCCCGGCCCCTCTCCTCCCGCCGCCTCCTTCCTCCACGCAGGAAATCCATGTCGGGGGACAGGTGTGGACCACAGCTAAGCAATCGGGGCGGCAGGCAATCCTGACTCAGAGGTGAGCTGAGGGGTGGGGCGGAGGGAGGAAGGGGGTGCTGGCTGCCGCAGACGAGTTCGAGAAGCACAGAGGTGGTGCAGAGTGACAGATGGGAGGGAGGATGCGGAGCCGGCACAGGAGCAGCTGGGACGGGGACCAGTGGCCGAGGGGAGACGGGAACATTCCCTGAGCACCCAGCCCTGGCTTTAGGTGGTCCCGGCAGCCCTCTGCGGTGGACTCCGCTCCCCCTGCTTTCCCGATGAGGAACCTGGCTAACGGAGGTCACACAGCTGCAGGGAGAGCTGGGATCTCAACTCAGGGGTGGCTGAGCCCCAAAGCCGTGCTCTTTCCCGGGCACCACACGCCTGCCCATGAACCCTGGGCCAGGCCCACGCCACGCCAGGGCCGATGGGCCCAGGGGCAGAGGGGGGCTGGGCCCAGCCCTGCCCTCCCCTCCCCTCCACGGCTTGCCTCTGCACTGCCAGCTCTGCACGCTCTGCCTCCAGGCAATCCTGTCCTTAACTCAGGGGAGCCCGGGCACCCTCCACCTGCTTCTCCCCGTCACCCGCCCGCACGCCTCTCCGGGGCGGGAGGGGAAGGAACGGAAGCACAGCCGAGCCTCGCGCTGGAGCCACTGGCTGTCCCTTTCCCCCGAGTGCCCTCAGCCCGTTCGTTCCTCTGCAGCTTCCCCTCCTCCACGCAGCAACACCGGAAACTCTGCTAACTCCTCAGACAATGCCCAGCACCAGGCTCACTTCCACAAATACAAGGCAAGCCAGGCGGGGCGGAGGGCAAGGCAGGAGTGGGGGCGGGGGCCGCCCCCACCCTCCAGGAGCTCCCTTCTCCCGTAGGCCCGGCACCCAGTGGCGCTGGAGCGAACCTCCGCTTTCCACCTGCACCCAAAATAGCACTTGCAGGCTGCCCGCCTCGCCAGTTCCCCTGGCAACGAGCTCTGGATGGGAATTCTGTCAGGTCTCCAGCGGGATTAGGATCGGGGTTCCCTCCTCATCCTCACACCCCGAAGGGGAGCACCGAGGACATCGTGGTCCTTTTGGGGTTCCCTCCCCAGCTCCTTAGGGATTTGGGGCTACAGCCGTGTCCCACGAACCAGCAGCAGGTCCCCGTACCTCAGGCCTGCTCTGATCACAAGCAGCGCTTTGCCATAAATTGGGGGGGGGGGGGGGGGGGGCGACAAGGCAGGAGGCCTCTGGCTAGGCATTCTGGAGAAGGAAGAATTACACTTCCTAAATCCAGGGCTCCCTTCAGATGGAGGTGGAAGCCAGGACTTCCCACCCTCACCCCCCAAAACACACCCATCCTTGCTGTGTGCCTCCTGCCACCGTGCAGTCAGTCAGGCCAGAATGTGAGACAGAGGGTCCTAAGCCCACCTTCTGCTCCAAGAGCGTTCAGGCCCCACCCACAGAGGACAGAGAGGGCGTGGCAAGCCCCCCCCCCCCCAGTCCTGAGCGACCGGCTCTGCCCAGAAGACGGGCAGAGCCAGCTGCAAGTCCAGGAGCTTGCCACCGAGCTCCCCCCGCCTGCCCACACCTGCCCTCACACGCATTCCTGCCCCTTCTCCAACCAGCCCCCCAGCTGCTGAGGGAGCCGGGGACACCCGAGGGTGACAGCTGCACCGGGCCCCATCCTCGTCTCCCCTCCCCCACGTTCCCAGAGAGGCCCTGCCGGTGCCACCGTCCGACTGCCAGCGCCCCTGCCACTGCCACTGCCACCGCCCCTGCCGCTGCCCCTGCCACCCACCCCTGCCACCGCCCCTGCCACTGCCCCTGTCCCTGCCGCTGCCACCACCCCTGCCCCTGCCACCGCCCCTGCCGCTGCAGCACCCCTGCCCCTGCCACTGCCACCACCCCTGCCCCTGCTGCTGCCCCTGCCACCGCCCCTGCCCCTGCCAGCGCCCCTGCCGCTGCCCCTGCCCCTGCCGCCGCCACCGCCCCTGCCACCACCCCTGCCGCTGCCAGCGCCCCTGCCGCTGCCAGCGCCCCTCGGAGGGAGGAAAGGGAGGAGCAAGCGTCCGGCCCAGGCAGGGGGACCCCGCCGGGCTCTGCGAGGGGAGCGGCCCCGATGGGCCCGGAGCAGACGGACAGAGGGACAGACGTGCGTCGGGGTGGCTCTCAGGGCCCAGCTTACTCGGGCAGATGAGGGCCTCCTTGGCCGTGATGCTCTTGTTGCAGGCGTAGCACATGGTCATGCCCGAGACGGAGATGGTGGTGAAGAGGTGCCCGTTGGTGTAGCGGGCATCCTTGGCTTCCTTCATCTTCTCCTTCTCCCGGGCCTGTGTTAGGAGGGGGAGACACGCTAAGGGAGGCTGGAAAAGGCCCGCGGGGGGGGGGGGGGGGTCGTCCTGCCTGCGGTGCCGGAGACGCGGCCGCCCGGAGCGAGCCTGAGGCTCTCCCTCCGCACGGCCAGCCCCGCCCCGGGGACCGCGCCGGCCGGACCCACCTGGCCCCGGCGGCTCGGCTGCCTCCGGTTGCCACTCATCTCCCCGGCCTGGACCTGGGCGTCCTCACTCCACCTTCCAGCCCCAGCTCCGCTCGCCCCCTCGCTGCCTGCCGCGCGCCCGTCTCCGTGCCAGAGGAGTGTGCATAGAGGAGGGGAGCAGGCACAGCAGAGGAGCCAGCTCACCAGCGCTCAGATCTATCGCTCCCCTTATAACCATGACAACCGGTGCTGGAGTGGCTGTCTCTGTGGCAGTCACAGCGGGGGGATGGGGGGAGATCCCCTTATTGGATGGGCTGGGGGGGGGGGGGCAGAATGCCTCCACGGCCACCCCCAACGCAGAGTCAGGGTCCCACACCTCTGACCCTTCCACACACACACTCGGCGGAGGACACCGGCGGAGGCAGGAGGCAGCATGCTCTCTGCTCACCCTGAGTGGGGAGGAGCCTGGTTTTGGCCTTGGGTCCCTCCTCCCCTCCCTCTGAGGAAGGAAACTGGGCCGGCGAGGTGTGATTCCTGGCAGGAAGTCTTTCCTGCAGGCTAACTTTTATTTTTCTCCTACAGCCCTCCCACACCCAAGGTGGTCCCTCTATTCCTCCTCACCCCAGTCGTCTCTCCCACCCCAGGAAGCTCCTCCTGACATCTACCCTCCGTCCCCAGCTGTCCCCCAGCTGTAACATCCGTCCCCCGGCTCCGGGCTCCCCTGACATGGGGCACCCTGCGAGCCCCCTCAGAACCTCAGAGGCTGGCTGTTCCCATCTCTGCTCTCTTCTCCCACTCCCCGCTGACCTCTGACCCCCTTTTCTGACCCCCTCAAGCCATGGAGCCTCCAGAAAGCCTGAGATGGGACCCCCCCTTCCCGCCTGCCCCAGGGCCTTCTGCAGAGGCCACTCTGGGAAGGAGAGCAGACATGGGAGCCAGGGCCTCCCTCTGCTTCCCAGCCCCTCGAACCCAGAGCATCGTCTGCTGCAGCCGAGGGCTCACCACGTTGGAGGACAGTGGAGGGAGAAGGGGGGGGGGGGGCTGAGGCAGAGAATGAGAGCTCAGGGCAGAGCCCTGGGGCTGGACCTTAGGCCTGAGCCTGAGCCTGAGCCCAGACGACACTCCGGCTCCGGCCACACCAGCAGCGAAGCGGTGGGGGAGGGGCAGAGACGCCCTGATCTGGTGCTCAGGGTAGAAACGGGAAGTGTGGACGGGCTGAGTCAACACCACGGGGCCAGGGGGCACTGGGCCACAAGGCCCTGGCCTGTCTCCCGACTCCCTGGTGGCCCAGATCCTTCTCTCTCCTGCCTCCCTTCAGGGCTCCAGGTTAGTCCGATGGGCAGACCCCAGAGGTCTTAAGGTCACTTCCTGCCCAGAGCTTCCATTTTTCTTTGCTCCTCTCCTCTCATCCTCCTCTTTCTTCTCTTCCCGTCTCCAGGTCTCCTTTCCATCCCATGCCCTCACCCCGCCTCTCTCTTATCCTGGCTTCTCCTCCACTGGCCCTGGCCACCCCCTCGCCGCCTCCTCCACGTAAGCCAGGGTCTCCTCCCTAACTCCAGCCTCCAATGTGCCAGGCCTCCCCTTCTTTATCCTGGAACCCACCTACCCGGACCACTAGAAAATTCTCCCTGTGGCCTAACCTCCAGCTGCCTGCTCTGCGGAAGACAAAACCCTGCTCTGAACAACCTCCACCTTGTAGGACCTCAAAGACCAAGTCCAAATATCGTTCTCACCGCCATACACTCCGTTCTCCCCCCCTTCCCTGCCCTCCCAGGCTTCTGTGTGACACAAACAGAAAGTCTGAGCACTTGCTATGTCTGACTTAAAAGCAAGCAAGCAATATTGAATGTCAATTGTAATTGAAATGTTTTTCATAAAAGCTAGCAAGAAACTAACATTAAAAAGAGCAACATGTCTAAATCAAGTCACTTCCAGAACAGGCAACGGCACAGATCTGCCCCCATGACGCCACCGCTCTCCCTCCCCTCGCCAGTGTCCTCCCCTCTTATGCCTCTGGGAGCACTCCCCGGGGAAGGAGGTGGGAGGAGGAGGGAGGGGACTGCGGCTGCCAGAGACTGGGGTCTCTAGTGACCCACCCTCTCTGGCATCAGCGCCCCAGGGACAACCCAGGCTTCCTTCGTGACCTCCCAACACTCACCCTCTCTCCGAGCGACCCCCTCTCTAGGTGCGCCAGCAGCGGGCAGCAGCCACAGCAACAGCACATCCCAGCACGGGCGCTGCCCGCAGCAGGCGGCCCTGGCACTGCCTGGCGCTATTGTCCGGGAGGCAGACTCTGCCCGCCCCGGGGCTGAGGCTGGTGAGGATGGGAGGACACAGAGCCTGCTCACCAGGGGAGCCCGCTCCAGAGAGGAGGGAGCGGTTGGCTGAGTTCTCTGTCCTCCTCTCTTCCAGGTGTTCTTCCGATCATCATCCTGGTCTCCCATGTACACACACCCCCGCAGGTAGCCCCTCACCTCCACACCCCATTCTGTCCGCCAGGAAAAGGGCCCCTCCCTCCATAATCGACAACACCCACCAACACCCAGAGACCCCTCCTGCTTGACTCCGTGCTCTGCTGCCCCAAATCTGGAGTCATTCCTTCTCCTAAGCCCACACGGGAAGTCTTTCTTTTCTTTTTTAATATATTTTATTGATTTTTTACAGAGAGGAAGGGAGAGAGATGGAGAGCTAGAAACATCGATGAGAGAGAAACATCAATCAGCTGCCTCCTGCCCACCCCCTACTGGGGATGTGCCCGCAACCAAGGTACATGCCCTTGACCGGAATCGATCCTGGGACCTTCCAGTCCACAGGCCAACGCTCTATCCACTGAGCCAAACCGGTTTCGGCAGGGAAAGTCTTTCTTGCTAGACAGCCTTCAACTACACCGCTGCTACATCAAGGATCGAGTGAATAAAGCACCCAACACAACAGCTGTATACAACAGGCACTCAATACATGTTTGGAAAGAAGGAAAGGAAGCAAGGGAAGAAAGGAAGGAAGAAAGGATGGACGGACGGACACCAAGACAAAGGGTCCCTGCAACACCCTCACCCCTGCTCTAGGGGCCCTCCATCCTTGTCAGAGGTTCAAACCCTCCAGGCTCCTCTCCTCCTCTCTCTTCCTGGAGGGCTCCCAGCTCCTCTCTCCTCTTATTTCCTCGGAACTTACAGACCTAGAGCCCAGAAGGCCAGCCCAGCCCTTCCTTCCCTGTCACCCCAGATCCTGGTCACTTTGTGGGGGAGAAGAGACGAGGGGAGTAGCAGAGGGCATTGTGACTGGTTGCCCAAAACTCAAAGGCAGCAGCTGTCTGCCCGCTTCTCTGCCCTGCCTCCCGGGCTGAGAGGAGAGGAAAACAGTGACGTCCGTGAAGGACGAGGCCGTGCCAGAGCCTGGGCCGCGGCTTCCTGCGCTCGCCGTGCTCCCCGCGGGCAGCAGGGGCTGGCTGGAGGCCCTCCAAGGCCACGCCTCAGGCTCAGCCGTCCTTGCTCCTCCATCGGGCTCATCCAAACCAGGAGCTCTGGGGGGTCACATGGTACTCAGAACCACCTCTGCCCAGGCCCGCTGTATGGTGACCCTGGAGGACGCCACTGGGACTGGAGGCCAGCAAGGGTGCAGCGTCAGAGGCTGCGACGGGCAGTGAGTCATGGGAATGAGCCATAGGGCTGGGAGATGTGACAGGGGGTTCCGGGCCATGGGACCGAGGAGAGAGTCTGGGATGGTCTCAGCCAGGCTCTGTCCCTTCACCACTTTCCAGGGACAAGACAGAGGCCGAGGAGAAGGCAGTGAACGGAAATACTAACGCCAACAACGGGCGTTAGCACAGCAAGATATCACTGCGTACACAAAGGCGCTTAATAAATGCTTGCTTGGTGAATGAGGACGAAACACTGGACAATGGGGGGGGGGGCACATTGGTGCAGCAAAAGAGGGGTGTGAAGCGTCATCGGGAATAAAGCCAAGGCGGAGACCCTGAGACCCAGACACCCTGGACCCCCGCCCGCCCCCCACCCGGCCACACCTGTCGGTCAGAGAGAGACTGCGGTGGGAGGGGGAGCGATGCAGACAGACGGGCATTTGTGAAGCGAACAATAGCTGTGCCAGGACTCCCTGCCCTCCTGGCACAGGGCAGGCTGGTGGGGCCGGGAGGGGGCAGCTGCTGCCTGCAGGCCCCTCCCCCACGGAGCTACGAACACACCAGAGAGGTCCAGCCGGCTCCTCTCACCCATTTCTCTTATCAGCCCCAGAACCCTCACCAGTCTGCTCACCAGGCTGAAGCTAAGAACGGAAAAGCTTCCTCAAGCCCAGAGCACGAGCCTCCTACTCCGGTGACCACGTTCAAAGCCGTAAACCAGAGCATGTGGGGACACACAGACAGACACGCACATATGCCCCAATACAGGCCACATACATGCGTGGGACTCACACAGTCTCATCTGACCCTCCCCTGACTCCAAGGTCGGGGATCCAGGGGAGCCTGCGGGACTGAGGTCAGAGAGATCAGAAGCCCCAGCAGAGTCTTCTCTCATCCAACTCCCCTGCCGTCCGGTGACTTCCCTAAGCTTCCCGCTCCCTTCCCCCACCACCCCTTCCCCCGCCCCCTCCCCCTCCGCTCCTTCCCTAACCTAGAATCTTTTCCTGCGCCCCCAAAGGCTTCCACCTCCTGGGGATCCCCGACTCTTCCACATCCCCCCAAACTGCCACCCGCCTCAGCCCCCTCCTGGGCTCCCCCAGCCCTCCTGCGCGGCTCCTCTCCCGCACACAAAGCCAGCCACCTCTGCGCTCTTCAGGACAAAGGAACAGCCTTCCTCCTTCGCCCTCTCCACCTGCCCGCCACGGCCACCGCAGGGCCCA